TAATGTTAAATTTAAGTACTTTATTTATTTATCTGACAGTACTATTCAAAACGCTTTTGAATAAGCATGAATCTGCAAACGAGTTGCCTTTGACCAGAAATATCTATATAGGCCAACCAGATACATGCATATGAAAAGCTGTTTGTTTGTTTATTGTTTGTTTTATTCAGTTTGGTAAACTGGACTGGATGTATCAAAATACACGTACAATATGTACAATATGTTTACATATTTGCAATCTTTCTTACTGTTCAAAATATGTTTAAATCTCCTTTTTGCAGTGAGCATGCAAACTGCCCATAACTCCTAACCTATGTAAGAATATATATATACGTTCTACCCTAATCAAAAGTTTATATAAGTCAACATTCGGTGCATAAACGTCTTTCTATGGAAGCCTTGGAGGGTCACTTTTGAGTTTCGACTTATAGATTTATTTTACTATTTTCTTATGACTTTTGATTTATGACTTTTGATTTATGACTTTTGATTTTTGACTTATGGATTTTGTTATTTCCCACGTGCTTGCCATTTTAATTATAATTTCCAAGGAAAATATGGTAGAATATGACATTGATTCAGACGAGGTAAGTTCATTTACCTAAGTTTCCTGGAGACTTATTTAAAAAACAAAATATGTGGGCTCATATGCAAGAACAGAATGTTATTCCTATATAAGCCTTTTAAATTGATTAAGAAAAGAAAATACTTTGCTTGCATTGCATTGCATTGCATTGGGTATCTATTTTTTATTTTAAATTTCCGGAACAGGGATATATAATCTCAAATTGACATACAGCGTATGAATCAAACGCTTTATTTTTATATGGGTTCCAGTTTTAAATCCAAACCAGTCTCGCATTGTTGTTTGCTGCAGTTACAATCGGTTTTCACCCGTAGTTCTTCATTCTTCGTCCATCTTATATTGAATATAGACCAAATTATATGCCTTATTTTGACAAAGAAATTTGTGGTTAAGAAGTTTCATGAAACATGGTATTTCAAAAACAATAAATCATACAGCTTTGAAACTTCACACACTTGTTTAGAACACGCTCTAAGTTAGAAATCTCTGAATTGCATTGTTATCAAATTCTGCCTCTTTTTCGATTTTGAATTCATTGTTTAGAATTTTCATGAAAAATGGTTTCTCAAACACTATTTAAGCGATTCCTTTGAAACTTGGAACACATATTAAGTGTTGACATCGAAGATCAATGACCAAGTTTCGTATGAGTGGCGCACAACTGGACATACTTATGCCCATTTTTAAAGCTAAAATGTTTTGTCAGATGGTTTATGAAATATGGTCCCATAAACCAGTTATGATATAATATTGAAACTTTATTCACTTGTTCAGTATCAATAACTTAGGTCACATACCAAGTACAAAGTACATGTTATTTGTATATAAACTTTTGTATACAGTTATGTATTAAGGAATTTTTTGTATTTCATTTTGTATATATATGTATTTCATTTCAATTGAGATAACACATACTTTTAATGTTTTCAGTTTAAATTCTAGTAAAGCTACTTGTAGGAATTAAGGACGTGCTGTCGAATGGTTTCAACTACAAAGCAGTTGCAAGAGCATCAGCAATACATATTTGTCAAGCTTTCGGAGCCAGTTTAGAAGACTAAGAGGTTTCATGGTAAAACAGCGTTCTTTCCGGGTGGAAAGTAGAACAGTTTAGCAAATGCAAAATGTCCAAACACTAGTGATTTGGTTTTCTTCGTTATTGTCTATGGAAATATTCAGACATTTTTGGAATACGAGCGTTACCATTTCACACTTGTTTCAGACGCTCGATAATTTTCAAGTTTTAACCCCACCACTTATTGTGGACGCTTTATTGGAAACACGCAATGTCACGTCCCGCCACGTTTATTTTATACTGTCCATACCTCCAATATGGTACAAAACTTGTATCGATATACAGGTCATGGTGAGACAGAGAAAAGTGTGAAAAATCATGAATTCATAATTCTGGCTTTCATAATTTTCAGTATTTGCCCATTGTAAATTTTAAAACTTAAAAGAAAGGTATCGAAATCAAATTTTGCATGTTCATATAGCTTGGCGAGGCAGAAAGAAACATACTTCTTGCTATCATAGCTACATTTTAGAAAGTCCCCTTTGTTGTTGATTTTTTTCTTCTTTTTTTCATACTTAGATTTTGTTAAACTCATAATTATCTCAAAAACTGTTGGAGGCATCAACTTGAATTTACTGGCGAGACAGAGTGCATTGTGTTGTTAACAAAACTTTTGATTATAACATTTAATCGTTCTTCTAAGTTAAACATTCCCTTTTTCGACATGCTGTGGGTTGGGGGTATGTTCATTAAGAAAGACTATGATATTTCCATTACATATAAAGTCGGTTATTCTTCGAAAAAAAAAACAAAAACAAAAAAAAAACAAACGAACTTGTGGACGTTATTAAATATATACATTATACAATGTATACAGTTTCTTAAAGTTAACTAGGAAATTTTTAGCTAGAGACTGTGTTTGTTTTTTCTCTCTTTTGAACGACAATGATTTTAAAAATCTTGACTTCAATAACAATACAGTCACTCTAGCGTTGCTAGTTAACCTAATTTATTTTATGTTTTCAAAAGCTTCGTTAGATCACTCATGATTTTCTTAGTTTTTCATCAGTAACGTATCAACGATGTGTTGTTTTGTAGACATATTGCATGTATATATGTCTTCTGTGACGTAAATACTTGATGTTTTTGTTGATGGCAGTGTTTATTTTTAGCTGTTCTATAGTGTTAGCTTTTAAGTAAGGCATGTGTGCTATTTTAGAAAAAAATACCTCTGTAGTTCTTATCTCTGTTTTTAAATTAAATATAATGAAGCTCAAATTCAGTTTGTTTTGCCTATCTAATACATTTGTTTTCTTATAAGACAACAATTTTGTTAAACAAAATAAAGCACGGTTGTAGAATAAAAAATGTTTGTTGTTATCTGTTTAAACACATTTATTCCAAACAATTATTGATAGCTCTGCCAACTTGTCACGGTCAAGACCGTGAGGTAAAAACCTTTGGTAGTGTGGTCTCTCGGTAGAGGTATATTTAGGTAGTCTGTTGAGGGAGTTGGCTAGTTCCACACAGTTTACTTCTATAGTGATTGCTATTCTATTTCTACTTTGCTCATTTCAACCTCTTACTTATAGTTTTAATGGATCACTATCTCTACATAGATAAATAAATTCTCTGTAACATTTAAATACTGTTTATTCCGGTGGGAAATTGCAAGTTTATTTTGGTTATAACAAAGTTACAATAACACAATAATAAATTGTCAACAAATGAGGAAAATGTCTTTTTATCATTCAGGACCAGATTTAATATGATAATGTAAATAAGTACAAGTTTGAAGTAGAAATCACAAGAGTTTCAAGTCATATTTGTGTCAAAACCGTTTTCTAAATTTTATTTTATACCTATAAATTTTCTTCCAACGGATAGAAAATTCCGTATTATGTTAGTGACAAATACGGAACCATATATGGAAATGCCGGATTATTTTTGACATTGGTTCCGATCTTAGCTGTGTCTTACGTAGCATTAGGAAACGGGAACCAAAATTATAAGAGGCGTCGCCGGTTTTGCATAAATTACGTATTCATCCGTCAGTCATAAATTTATTTTTTATTTTCTGAAATTTCTTATAGAAGTGTAGTTTAATGAAAATCATTTTTACTAAAAACGAAAAGGTATATAATAAAAGTAAAATTATGTTGTAGTAGCTTTCTGAGGCTATGCATTTTTCTACTTGCAACATTGGAAAATTGATATCTCACTCGACCTTCGGTCTCGCGAGATATCAATTTTCCACCGCTGCTTGTAGCAAAATACAAAGCCTTAAAAAGCTACTACTACATAATATTCCGTACATATATCTCCTTTATTTTAATGTATTATAATGCCTAACGCTTGTACCCTCTTTAATAGTCAACACGGAAAAATAGCGTACCAGTCAACCGTGACTAACTTCAACAAGGAATTAAATAATCTATTTCAAGATGTAAAATGTTAATAAAAATTTGTAATAAAGCTACACATCTAGAAAATAGCTAAGAACTGTTTTATCTGTATAAAAAAATTCGTTATTTATCAACTTTAATACTCAATGCTGCAGACGGCATGTATAAATGAATGTCCCGAATTAAAACTTCTATACATATGATTTCACATTAACAATTGATGTTGATTCTTCACGTAAAAACGATCAACTATGATAAAAACATATGAATGCATTCAATGCAATAATTCTAATTTTAAACATCATATGACTTCAACACCACTCTCGGCTGATGTCCTCCCTTGCGTTTGGTGATTGTATCACAAATTTGCTTATTTTGCATTAATCTAAAATCAAGTAAAACTAATGTTTATACAAAGGCAAAGAGTAACAGCAAATGGCAAAAGTTATAAGTCAAAAGATAAAAGTCATAAGTAAAAAGTGATAAATTATAAGTGAAAAGTCATAAGGCAAAACCTAAAAAAAAAACACGAGAAAATAAGTCAGCATTTATTACAAAGATCAATTACTATTTTTGAAATAACAATCATATATATTCCTTTTAAATACCATAATACATCCTATAAAGTATGGTTGCTATTTGTTGCGAATGAATAAGACGTTTGAATCTAATTACACATACTTGAAATTACACGTATAACTTATATGTCACGGTACGAATCTATTCAGTAGATGATATGCAATCTCGGTGGGGACAGAGCTAGCCCTGTAAGGGGTTCCGGGTTCGAATCCCGGTATGGCTGCATATCTTTCTCCCCCTGTGACATTTGGCATAGTAGAAAGTGTCCCTGCCAGTCACGCGGGAGACCGAGGTTCTATTCCTAGTGGGGCAGCCTTTTTGTAACCAGGGCTTGATAGAAGAGATACAACCAGAAGTCGATTCATATAGTGCAGTTAATCTCGTAATACGTATGCCAAAAACAAAAAGAAATACAGCATGTATTTTACGTAAAAAGTCACAAAATTGCACATACATATATTGTGATGTAAAAACTTTACAAATTAATATTTACAGGCTGCTGAGTTGGAAATCTTTAAAAGGACAATTAACTTGTACAATAAATGTGTTTAGATTTTTCTAGCTATATTAAGATGGAAAAATATGCACGTTTTCTATTATTATAATTTTTTTACAGATATTCATTGCCTAATTAATGCTAAAAAAATCTAAGAGCAAATTACAATTATAACATTTTCAATGCTTTATATATTACAAACTAGCCGGTAAAAGCCGTCCATATTTCACAGAATGAATCAATATACTTCTAGAAAGAATTTAGCAAATTGATACAAGCCTTTTGACTTAATGTAATTTAAGTGATTTTTTAAGTTTAGAAGGATATGATAAAAAAATGTTCAAATTGGTGGGGTAGAGAAACAATACCATGCATATTTCTATCGTGTCGAGAATAGTCATGCATTTAACATGCATAGTTTATTACTAGAATGTTATTTTTTGCATCTAAACAAACAACACTTGCAAAACATGTTTAAATGAGATTACACGGATTTTTTTTTTTAGACTTTCAATACATGTATATATTTTTTAAATGCCTACTACTCCAAATCCGTACGGTAAATTTTGCTTAAATTTTGCATACAGGTGTCCTTTAGGTATACCACTAAACAATGTTGTCAATTTTACAATGCCTTATAGTGCAAATTAGAGTGGTTATAACTTAAATGATAATTTACAAATATATTGTAATTTGCTCAATATTTACAAACCAATATCTTAAAACAACCATATAATGAAGTGAAATCGTAGACTATCGTCTTTATGATTTTAAAACATCATTTTTTGAAACTTAACCTATAGTAACCTAGTATATATCAATAACACGAAAAAAATCAGTATTAGTCGTTTCAAAGCGTATTTATATTAAATCTATTCTCAAAATTAAATCTTTCAACTCGGTACACAGTTGTAGTGCTGAATCAGCGTCCAATGGCATCTGTAGATCTGCCTTAAGAAGGGGTGCTAATTCTATGAATTCCTCACATTGTCTTTTTGGGCGTGAAAACATGTTCTTTGCAAATATATACGTCTCTCAAGTTAACTGCATTGCCGAAGTCGTGAGTTTCATACAGACCTGGTACAAAAAACAGTGTGTCAGGTTTACCACAAATAACAGAAGAACTTTTTTGTTGCCTTATTTCATGTGCAATCCGATCAAACTCGGTTTGTATGAGGTCCATGAAGCAAAATTTTAAGTTCTCACATTGTATCGGATCCAGATCATTAAATACACAAGTATCGCTTAAGTCTTTGGGTCGTTATTTGAGTCCAAAACCTCTAACCATGTTTATACCCATTCACAGCACCATGGATATAAAATCCTTATGGTTTAAGTTTGTCTTAACCGTCCATATGTCATGGCGTAGTATACGCGTCGGCATAAGCGATGAGCTTTCCGCATCTCAATACCATCCGGATCAAGCGCTCCCATTATTTCCATGACGTCGTCTCCCTTGACGTACATGTGGTAATTCAGCATTAACCTACGCCATATTGTACGGTATTCTATGCGTTGTCCATTTGTTTGTATTTCTCTGTTTATAACATCAGACACAGTCTCAAAAGGAGTATATATTCCATTACGCCGTTTTAAATTTAAGCGTTTAAAAAGTCTATTCACTGTACTAAATGACGTCGTAATGCCATGCTGTACCGGAAAGTACTCTATTATCAGCAGAGTTTTGTTTGTTATAGATATTGTGGGTAGGTATCTTGGCACGGTAGCTTTGGTAATGATGAACAGTATAATGATGAAGACACAGATCAACATCAAGGTTTTCATCCTCGTTACCTTTTGTCCAGTAGTTGTGTCTGAAATAAGAGTTTATCTTTTATCTAAATCTTTATACATTCATACTATATAAAATGGGTAAATCTCTTAGCTCCGATTTTTTAAGATTGATAAGTGCGAAAAAAATATTTAAATGCTAGTAGGATCTTTTGTTCTAACTGGTTCTATATCTACGTTTATTCTTAAGTGTTCTTTTCTCAATTGTTAAAATATACAACAAAATTAGACATTGATGCTAAATGCAAATGGTGCTCGATTACAATTTTAAGTTAACTTTGTACTTGTGTGTATGAACATAGCACTTGCCGTTCTTTACTAATTCCGTGTTAGCTCAATAAAATGCTGAATTGCGATACATGTTTAATACTGTGCACCATGCCATTTTAAGACGTAAAACTTGTATTCCCTGTCTACTTGTAAAACAGTTATTTGTTTGTTACTCATGGACAGATTTTGTGATGAGGACAAAAATGTATAAGCACTAATATAATGAACATATTAAAAACATAGAAGATTGTACAAAACACACAGTCACACTTGTGGAATTAAAGTCTGTGATATGTTACCACTATGGGATTATATCAAATAATATTAAATTCCCTCCTTAACACATTCTCTCCTCCATGACAAATCTGAATGAAATTATTTAAAACGTTTAAAAATATACCTGAAACCAAAGTTGCTGCTTTCAGCTTCTAGAGCACGTGTAAAATGGGTTAGCCAAAAGTCATAAGACGTAAGTCACAAATCAAAAGTCAAAAGTCGAAAGTCAAAAGTAAAATATCCGTAAGTCGAAACTCAAAAGTGACCCTCCAAGGCTTCCATATCTTTCTGTCCTGCAATCTATACCAGCAGATGTTCTTGTTTCTTTCTAATCCAGTCATATGAAACAATTTCTTCTATTCATGCGAAATAATGTCCGTTCATGCGGACTAAATGCAACAGCTTATGCGGTTGGTAATACACATATTTACGTCAGAGAAAACCTACGTCAGAGGTTACAAAATCAGAATGTCCTTTTCACATGTGCATTCTTGGGAAAGACAATGCGTTATGAATAAATCACGTGACAAACGACCTTCACTAAAAGATATAATATTATATAATAAACCAGCATGCTCTATCAAACGCACTTGATTAAATTAGCCCATATGAAAACAGAAAATGGGTGGTAAGGAAAGAATCTCAAAATTCTTTGGCGCTCAAGAGCTATTGATTTTTTTTTTCAAAACACGCAAAAACAAAAACAATTTTAACAAAACATATTTTTCTAATCGATTGGAATAGATTCACGAAGCTTATTTGAAATAGTGTCTTGGAAACATGGGCGTAACACAAATAAGGATTAATTAAAGCAAATGTTATTTTGTTGAGTGTTTTCGGACACTTCTAACCCTCTGTTGTTTTGCAGCATATGTTACCGTAATAAGTATATTTTTTACACTAGACATTATAGATATTGTTTCCAACATACATCTGGCAATTTAGCAGGTAGCAATGCAATTTTGTTAAGTGTTGTTTTCTTTACCCTCAGTCAGAAATGTTGAACGCTTTTCCTAAACTTTTTGACCTACTATCACAGAAGTAATGCTTTCTGACAGATATCATTTAAAAGTTTGAAATATTTTTAATATTAAAATATCGAATACATTCATATATAACCAAAAAGGAGTCGTTTGAATGTCGCCGAATTTCGTTTCGCCTAAAGTATATTTCAAATAATGTTTTATATTGTTTCGTGCTTGCGCTCAATGCCTGCATGTACCCGCTCCTGTTGCACCTGGTATGTTATTATTGATTTCCTCTCATATCGTACCAAGTTTGGCTCACTTGCCCTACCAGGATTTGCCCTTTTGACGACCCACTCATGTTGTACAAGCCCTTACTCTCGTTCCAGATTTTGTTCTTATGGCGTAGCAATTCTTTGCTCGCCTCTCGAACACACTTAGCTCACTCTAGTGCTGTAACAGCCATTGTTGTAATGCTCTCATGACGTGCTAGACCTTGATCTCCGGTTATATTAGACCCTGCTATCATGTCGTATTGGTCAGACTCTGCTTTCACGTCGTAGATATCAGACCTTGCTATCATATCGTATATGTCAGACCTGGCTTACATATCATACTTTCATTTCGCAACAGTCCTTGCTTTAATAGCCTACCAATCTTTGTACTCTTTTTGTTACCAGCCCTTCCTTTCATATCATACCAGCATCTATCAAAGTTTGCACACATGACGTACAAAAACTTGCACTCATGTCGTATCGATATTTTCTCTTATTTCGTGATAGGTGTTGTACTCATATGTCTTACAGGCCTTGTTCCTATGCATTTCCTATGGGAACGAAAATTATATTAGCTTTAAATTGTTTTCTTTTTATAAACAACTATTTAATGTCTTGGGCAGATTCTGATAATATTTGTATTTCGGTAAGAATCTCATTTGCAATGCTTATCCGTCGTCCTAAAGTTTCTTTTTCATGCATTTCTTACACGTGTGTTAAAGTTTGTTAATTTAATGCTTATACCTCCTAAATTTTTTTAATTTAATTCTTTCACGTACCAAATTTTGTTAATTTAATGCTTACACGTCCCAAAACTGGTTTGTAAATATAAAATTTACATTGACCTTCAGTAATCTCCTTTTTATTACCGTTTAAATATCAAAATACTGACGAGAACAAACCTATCACCATTAATTTACATTTATAACTTTCTTACATTTTTTCCACGACCATCAAATAACCAGATAAATATTTCCCAATGAGTCACTCACTCTGTTACAGAAAATAACAACAAAAACTCGGTCAGGGATCGATTTATCGTGTCCTGCCAAAATAGAAAACTAAAGTAGAAAGAAAACTGTACCGTTCTGACATTGTCTTGAGCTTAAAGATTATTGGGTCATATGTAAAGAGATCTGGAAAACGTAAACAAACGGAAAATATTTTATAGCATTCAGAACGGTTGTATTTCAGGTGGTGTTACCGTCCGCTATGCAACGCTAATCTCGCGGTCACATTTTAAATACATGTATGTGAAAAAATCGGAGCATCATCAATGTATTTGAAATTTTACACACAAAAAAACCACAGCAAAACAACAACAACAAATAAAAACAAAACAAAACACACACACACTAATAAGACCGAAACAAACATTTCTAGTTGTTTATTCGTACACTTTCAATGTTCATTATAAAGATAATCTTACCATGGGATTGAATTTCTTTATCAAGATTTTTCATATCATTTGAAGTAGGTCTACAACAATCCCTAAAATAGAGCAAAATTTCAGATAATTCGCTCACTCCGTTTTTTGTTCGGTTTTTTTTCCTTCTTCAGAGCAATTATTTTTAACATGCAAAAGATTCTAAAAGGTGAAAAGGGTTTTATCGCTTTTAATTCAACACTGAGAATCTCATTAAATATCGATACTTAATTTAACTTTGAATGCATTTCTTTACTATCTTTTTTTCATATTTTCCAGTTTTTCAGTGCCCTAGTTGATCTATGTAAAGCTTTCAACTGAGCCGCGTCAAACCATATGGGTTTTGACCAGCAGGATCAGCAGTCTTTTGGAACGCGCTTGATAGGACTGCTGTTCGCTTACAAACATATAACAATATAACTGATAGCGAATGAGGTCTGATCAGACTGCACGATGCAAATTCGAGTGTAGCAATTATATAAATTTGCTCTATTTTCTGTCCGCCGAAGCGGCTTATGAATGAATATTTGTGAAAAGAGGTCAATCCTTCAGTCGCAAACCATTATTTGGTTTTTCATGACCGGTTAATATGTAATTAGGTTTAGACTCAGAAGTATGTTTCAGTAACGCTAAATAATTGAATAAAATTGATGATATAAGGAACAAACATGCACAGACAAAAAACAGATGTTAAATTATAAAAAGAAGCTTATATTTCTGCTATCTGAAGTATATTTAAAATTATTTTTTGAATTTGAGAAAAAAAATCAAAATGCCTGCATAAAAGACATAATTATATTGGTATATTTCCCTAACAGAACATAGCGCATGTGTGCAAGTGGTTAAAACGCCAGTAAATTGAAGTGTTATATTCTATTCTGGAACAATTTATTCTGTTTACGTACAATTATATATATGTATTGAATAATAGAGACATTCTATGTTACAACTCTTTCGATAATCGGCCATAAGATTACGGAAACAAGATCATTTTACTGTTTTTACATTTAATGCACATATTTCATTAGATATTATATCTTTATTGCGGGTAATTTATTCTGTTTACGAAATTTACTATGTTTCATTGAAAATGAAATTATGATATAACCCCCATTAGATTGGCATAAGAATTATGGACTTTAAACCATATTTATTAGTTATTATATCTTGAAACTTAAGATGGTGTTATTAATTACTTATGTTACAACTTTGAATTGTTTTATAATGATATAGAGGTAGCACTTATAAAGTTTTCTTCTTTACATGTTAAAAGACGCTTTCTGTTAAAGGGAGGGTACCCAAATAATTTTATACGAGATGATGAAAAATTTGAAACCATATTAATTATATTTGGATTTCAGAAATTATATATCATTTGTTAAAAGCATTGCAGATTTTCTACAATCAATTTGTGTGTAAACAGCAAGACATGACTATACAATATAAAATTGTTAACATAATTGCATATTCTTAAATTAATAATATAGGTTTATTTTTGTGTTTATCTGTTGGAAATGACTTTGGTGATGGGTTTTGCAGACGACATATTAAAATACAGTGTGTATTTGTATTTATTATTGTTAGCGATTGTGTACAAGTATTATACGGTTGAAGGACACCATTGACAAAATTGCTCAACCGCTGAACAATACGGCCACATAAGTGGGCACCAAAGTGTCATTTATCGTAATATATAAAGACACACTTATTAGAATAAATGAAGGAAAAACATGCAAGTGTTTTTGCTTTAGGTGATGCTAAGAACTAAACCATAAAAACAACAACAACAACAAACCAAAAAAAAACCCGATTATTTGTAACTCTTGTTGTACAGACATCAAACGAAGACAAGTGAAAGATTTCCAAATTATTATCTGACAATGTGTGTAATGAATGAAATTCCAGAACAATTATGGTTAAACATAGAAGTAACGCGGGAGTGAAGAGGATGTTGAACAAAATTAGTTAGCCGGATTTTTTAGATGCTCGAATCCAAAGTACCCGAAAAAAGGAATATAGAATAAGAAATAAAATATGGCGGGATTTCCTTGCTGGGATAATTTCTTATTTTAACTCTTGAAGACAATTCTTCACCGCAAGACCTACACACAGAACAGGCTTAGGGTTCTCAGTTATTCCATTATACCAGAAGTAATGGTAATGTCCTATGCTCCCTCTAAGTTATCTACGGTCAAACCTTTTATCATCCTCATAAACAGCCTCCCTAATTGGTCATTACCAACAATTATAGCATTTACAGTAATTATACTGTCGAAATATTGAAAGGGATCTGTTTGGCTGGAAACGTTTTAGAAGGAAACATGATAATTCATATAAAGTAGAATTATGGTGTGGAGGCACGTGTTGTATTGTTGTGTTGCACGTGTTTTATAAATTGTACATCATATCTTTGATAAATGTTGTAGAATTAAAACCTACAGTCTGTTGAAACCTTTAGAGATATCTAGAACTGCGAAAACAAATTAAACCGCAAACGGTTAAGTATGAAAACAATTTGAACCACAATATTGAGAACCTAAAGACATTCTTTGCAATATTGTTTGCGTTTGTCAATATCATGAATTTGCATAAGCCAATGTTTTTATTGCATATAGTT